GTGCCCTTCACCACTCACCTCCTCCAGCAGACCTGCCTAAGGGGTCATTCCCCAGGCCGGCTGCCAGTGTCGTTGAGCTGATGACCAGACGGAATCCCGGTTATCAGAGGCATTCATTTGATGGAACCCTCCCTTGTCTGCTCACCCTGTCTTATTTTTCTCGGTGGCCTTTACCAGGTTCCAACAAAGCACCTGTCCACCTTATCTTTCTCTCTGTCTCTACCTCCCACCCCAGCATGGGACCTCCAGCAGGGCAGGGACATACTCCTCTGGTGTCTTCAGCACCTGGGATAGATCCCAATACCTAGTAGGTGTTCAATAAATCTGTGTTGACCGGATGAAAGCAAGCAACAAAAGACCCAAGCTGGAGGGGTCCACAGAGCTGTGGGAGYCAAAGGAGGGTCRTTTCCATGATTCYCTGATSAGCCCTCGGGCTCAGAGGWGGGGARAGGTTGCCAGGGGGMGCCGCTCMKYTTCCTCCTCTCAAAATGCCCCTCCCACCAGSCACTGATTCCCCTCCCACGCTCARCCAGAYCCAAAATAAGACATTTARTATRGCCRTTCTGACAACATGGGCCTTTGACCKTCKCKGCTATTTGCTGACCCAATYTGTTTGTTYATTTTACTCAGGAACATGGGCTACCCAAATCCTAGCCCCCTCCCTGAGACCCTCCCATTTCTTGACCTCCGCTCTGACTCCTTCTCAGCCTCCACCCCATTCCTGACCCTTAACCCTGACATGCACCCGTTTCTGAGCTTCTGGGACGAAGAGACCAAAGCTTCAGTGGTCTGTTTTAGGGCCGCGACCCCATTCCTGTCACCAAGAAACAGATCCACAAAGGGAAGCGACAGAGCCTGAGGTGAGGGGGCCTCAACCGTGGAGCCCAAACATCAACAGACGAGGGACAGCCTCGGACCATCCAGAGCTCCGGGAGAGGCAGAGCCACCATAGCAGGGAGCCTGGGAGCTGGKGTAACCCCAGACAGTGACAGCACACTCCAGAAGAGGAACACAGCGGCCACACTTTCCCGATTTGGCAATATCTCAGCAGAACAAGGACGTTAGAAAATTCAGAGATTTCCAAGACCCGCCCCTGTGATTCCATCCAGAAATTCACCCGGCTGTGTCAGGCTGAGAGCTGCCCCGCCAGGTCCCCGGACCCGGGCCACCTGTGGGCATCAAGACCAAGGCAGAGGGTGTCCAGGGACCAAATCCCCCAAAGTAAACAAAACTCAAAAGAGGAATCTTCAAGAATGACATAGGGATGTTGCAAAAGAGGACCAGACCTGCTTGGGACTTATGGGGACTCTGGCCAAGACAGACACCCCTGGGGACCAGGAAACCTCCCGGGCTCCCTGGGTCTGTCTCTCTCTGTGGGGTGTTGCTCTGCTCACCTCTCTCTTGGTCTCTCTGTCCTTTCTCTGGTCTTCATCCTCTGTGTCATCTCTCTCCCCCCCTCTCTCTCCCTCTCTCTCGCTCTCTCCCTCCCCCCTCTCCTAGTCCCTGCCTCTGATTCCCCCCTCCCTGCCTGCCCAACCCGAGGGCTTCCGCTGAACTGTTACCTTTCTGATCCATTTCTGTCCACTAGGCTGGGGCTTCAGGAAGGCAGAACTTCTTCTCTGTATTATTTTCTGCTGTGTCCCCCCAGTGCCGGGGATAATGGCTGGCTCAATGACTTCAGGCTGGATAAAGAACAAACAGAGCCACCTCTCTGGTGAGCATGGTCGGTATTTTATTTGGTGCTGGGTTGAACACAGGGCTTCACTTGTGCTAAATAGGAGCTTCCTGCGGATGGCTGTAAAGCAACAATGWTAACCATTGTCTCCGCTACTGCTGCTGCTGCTGCTGCTGGAGTGACTCCAGGCCAGGAATCGGGCCAGGCAGCTTCCTGCCCAAGCCTTACAAGTGGTTGTGAAGCACCATCACCATGCTCCATTTCAAAATGAGAAAAATGAGAGAACCCATTTGTGTGTTTGTGCCCAGATCTGCCTAATTAATTCCCCAGCCCGTGGGTCCCCAATGAGTGGAAGATCAGGGGCCATCTGTCCCAGTTACGGGTTCCAATTTCAGCTCTGCCACTTGAGCAGCCGAGACCTTTTAGAAAACTGCTGAATCTGCCAGGTGCAGTGGCGCTTGCCTGTGATCCCAGGGCATCGGGAGGCTGAGGCAGGAGGATCACAAGTTCAAAGGCAGCCTCAGCAACTTAGCGAGGCCCTAAGCAACTCAGTGAGATCCTGTCTCTAAATAAAATATAGAAAAGGGCTGAGGGTGGGGCTCAGTCTTTCTTTTTTTTACTTTCTTTTTTTTATTGGTTGTTCAAAACATTACAAAGCTCTTGACATATCACATTTCATACATTTGATTCAAGTGGGTTATGAACTCCCATTTTTACCCSGTATACAGATTGCAGAATCACATCGGTTACACATCCACTGTTTTTACACACTCGTGTCTGTTGTATTCTGCTGCCTTTCCTATCCTCTACTATCCCCCCTCCCTCCCCTCCCGTCTTCTCTCTCTACCCCCTCTGCTGTAATTCAGTTCTCTCCCTGGTTTTTCTTAAGCGCCCCTGGGTTCAATCCGCGGTACCAAAAAAGGGAAAAAAGGAAATCGCCAAATCTCTCTGCGTGCCCCGATTTCCTCCCCTGTAAGATGGACGTCCTCGCCACGAAAGCGTCGTGGGACCAGCGCCCACCGCCAGGATTGTCACGAGTTCCAGGTGGCTCACGCCTGCGCAGAGGACGCGCCTTCCCTCGGCGGCGCCGGGCACCGCAGAAGTGGGACGTCCCTTCCGCAGCTGGCGCCTCGGGTGGGGCGGTGCCTGGGGCATTCCGACGCTGGACTCGGCTCAGTCGCTACCTCCGACGTCCGCGGAGGAGCAGCCAGAGTCCAACCCGCAGATCGCCGCGGCGCTCTGGGCCTGCGACACCGAGGAACCAACATGGTCTCACCCCCGGCTCTGCTGGCGCTGCTGGCGCTGTCCTGGGCGACCCGGGGAGCCGGTGAGTGACCTCTGCGCCGCTCGCGGTCCCGGCCCAGCCCCCGCGCCGCTCCCSGCAGCTCTCTGCCTCTTGGGCCTCCGAAGGCTGCAGGCACCGACCCTCWGCCACGCAACCTCCTCCGCCCCGGGGCTGGAAGGAATAGGGACCCCCGCAGGACCCCCCTCTGAGCCGCCCTGACCGGGGCCCGGTGGAGTTCGGAGATTCCCGAAACCGGAGTCCGACTCCGGGAAAGGAGGTTGACTCACGGCGGTGACCTCCGGCTCGCGATCGCCACGCCCGGGCCAGCCCGCGGCCAGGCCCACCGAGAGGGCTGAGCTGGGCGACGGCGGCCCCGGCGCTGGCCCCGGGACCCKGGCCAGGCAGGGATTCATTCATTCATGGGATCGGGGCATTCTCTCCCCACTTGATGATTGAGCACCTGCTGTGTCTCGGGGAGGGTGCCGGGTGCTGGCGCCGCAGCTCTCAGTCAGTCGCTCGGGTTCAGACCTCAGCTGCTGGGACTGAATACCTGTGTCACCGTGGGAAAGTGAACTTGCTGAGTGGTGGCCGCGGGGGCGGGGAGGACCTTCCCTTGCAAGGCGGGTTTTGCGAGAGGATCTCGCCGCCCTCCCCAGCGCCAGGATGGTCTGGGTGCAGGGTGGAGCCCACCCACCCGCTCCCAGCCCAGGCTCTGCCGGTGTCTAACCCCAGGAAGTGACTTCACCCTCCCAGCCCGGCTTTCCCCCCTCTTAAAGGGACGAAAATTCTAGTGTGTATCACACAGGGCTCTGGAGAGGGTTGGAGGAAACTTGAGCAGAGGCCACCACGCCCAATTTCATCCCCCACAATAGTCCTGCCAGGGAGGAGAGTCACTGACCCAGAGCTGCACAGCAGCAAGTCAAGGGCAGAGTCGGGATCGGACCCAGACCCCTTCAGTCACTGGGGAAAAAATGCCTGAGATAATCTTTTTTTTTTTTTTTTTTTTGAGACAGTCTGGCCTTCATTGACATGATTTTGCTTCATTTCATTGATATGTTTCTCCTATGCCCCGTCAGGGTCGTTGAGAGGTGTCAATCTGACATTATCTTGCCTCAAATTGCTGTGGGGTTCCAGAAGCTTCTAGGGTGCAGGTTGCTCTGGGGGAAGATGCCACTGTGCTATTGAAATCTAACTCTTTTTTTTTTTKGGGGGGGGGAGGTTGTTACCAGGGATTGAACCCAGGGGCATTTAACTACTGAACCACGTCCCCAGCCCTTTTTTTGTACTTGATTTAGAGTCAGTCTCACTGAGTTGCTTAGGGCTTTTCCCTAAGTTGTTGAGGCTGACTTTGAACTTGTGATCCTCCTGCCTCAGCCTTCTGAGCCACCGGTGTGTGCCACCTGCCTGGAGAGATTATCACCCTCTAAAGAGCAAAGGTTTATTTTGGCTCACAGTTCTGGAAGTTTCGATCTCTGATTAGTTGGTTTGGGGCTGGTGACAAAGGCAGCATATAATAGCAGGAACGGGTAGTGGAGCTAAACTCAGAGTCAGGAAGGAAAAAAGAGACCAAAGTCCCACCATGGCCTTCAAGGGCACACCCCCAATGACCTAAAGCCCTCCCACTAAGCCTCACCTCTTAAGGGGTCCCAGCCTTTACCACGTGGACCTTTGAGGGAGTCTTGAGACCCAAACGATAGCACCCATTTTACAGATGAGGAAACTGAGGCTCAGAGGCCTGAAACCACCTGCACAAGGGCCCCACAGCTTGTGCATGTCGGGGCTGGAGCTCCTGCAGGCCCCTCTGTTCCCTTGCCTCCTGTCCCCTCCTGCTCCCTCAGCACTCTGAGCCAGGCACCGACCTTATTATTACTAAGAAGAATCCGTAGCGTTATGTTTACTAATGTCAGCAAGAGCCAGCAGCTCGCTGAGGACCTACTGTGTGCTGGGCTGGCACAGAGAAGATTTTCCTATAGGATCTGGCGCCTTACTAGAGACAGCACAGGTTCCAGTTCCCGCTGGCCCCCGGGGTGACAGGGAGCAGACCTCTGGGCCAGTGTCCCCATTTATAAACGGTTCTCTTGGTTTCCCTGCAGGAACTGGGACTGTCGTGGTCCAGGCACCTGCTCAGGTGAGCGGCCTCCTGAACGGCTCTCTGTTGCTGCCCTGCCACCTGCAGCCTCTGGAGCCCAATGCGCAGGTGACCCAGGTGACCTGGATGCGACAAGACTCTGAAGGAGGCCTCCACAAAGTGGCGGTCCGCCACCCGACGCGGGGCCCCAGCCTGGCGGAGCCGGAGCGGATCAGGTTCGCGAGCGCGGATCTGCTGAACGCCTCGCTCCGGGTGTCCGAGCTGCGCACCGAGGACCAGGCCAACTACTCCTGCCAGTTCGCCACCTTCCCCATGGGCAGCGGGATCGCGTGGACCTGGCTCCAAGTGTTCGGTGAGCGGAGGGGACRGGGACCCGAGGCGGGCGGCGAGGTGGCAGGACGCTCCTGGGGACGGAGTGGGCGGGGCCCTGGCGGGGGCGGGGCGAGGACGGGGCGGGGTGGAGCGGGGACCCTGCAGGGACAGATCTTGGGGACTGGGAGGAAAATGCAAAACTCCTGTAAACAGCGCCGCACTCAGAAAGGTGTCCTGGGGTCGCCTGAGTTTAGCCAGGTAAAGCTTTGAAAGGGGACGCTTGGGGACTTGTCCCCGCTCCTGGGAGCTCCTCTCTAGAGGTCAGCCGTTGCTCCCGTGTTTAGAGAAGAAGGAAAAGTTGAAACTGAGACAGTTGGGAGGCAGCGACCGCCAGTCCCGCAGGGGACCCCTGGTTGCCCACCCCCCCACACTGCAGGTGGGGCCCTGGTGACCGTTTCCTGAGCCGGGGTGGGAGGGTGGGGGTGGTTGACTAGTTTTCCTCTTGGAACTTGAACAGAAGTCCCCACGCCCCAGTTTTTCCCAGCCCTTCCAATGAGTCACTCACGAAATTGTCATCACCTGCTTGGAACGTGCCCTGCAGACAAGAGCAATACTGATGACCCCTCTTGGGGCCCCCAGGCTGGGGTTCCTGGGACTCCGAGTGTTAGCTTTAGGCTAGGGGTAAAACTGAATCCATGAGTCACCCAAGGAGAAAGTCTTCAGTGAGTAATGACCCAGGTAGTGACAGGAAGCCACCCAGGGAAGCCCCAGGCTAGGGAATCACCACAATAGCCCTTCAGATCTGGCCAACAGGGTTCTGGAATCAGGCGGACCTTGCCCGGAAGCCCAGCTCGGTGACCCTGGGTGGGTCACTTCCTCTCTGGACTTTCAGGGCACAGGCTTCCTCTCCTCTGCAACATCTTCCTCTGATGTCCCCTCTGGGTCCCCATGCCACTGCGGATCGTCACTGTCTGGGGAACATCTGTTTGGGGGGGGGGCAGGGCAGGGTGGCCTTGGTCATGACCACCCACCCTTGAGCATTTATGTGCCAAGAGCTTTGCCTGCCCGCCTTCTCATTCCCTGTGACCCTTAGTTAWCCCCAGTTGACAAGTAAAGGCCACTGAGCTGCTCAGGGGCRGAGCTGGGATCTGACCTGACCATCCTGGATCCTTCAATAGACACCGGCTGCTGCTGAGGGGTTTGGGAATGACCCCAGGCAGGAGGCGACCCACCCTGTTGCTTCTCCCCCAGCCAAGCCCCTGAACACAGCAGAAGCCCAGAAGGTCCCGCTGAGGCCATCCACCGGGGAGCCTGTGCCCGTGGCCCGCTGCAGCTCCAAAGGGGGGCGCCCACCCGCCAAAGTCACCTGGTCCCCGTTCCTGAATGGCTCAGGCAGCAACACCGTGGAGCCAGGACCCCTCCCGGGCACGTACACCGTCGTCAGCGTCTTCACACTGGTGCCCTCCCGCCTGGCAGATGGCGGGAACATCACCTGCAGGGTGGAGCACGAGAGCCAGGAGGAGCCTGCCCTGCTGCCGGTGACCCTCGCTGTGCCCTGTGAGTGTGCCCACGTGTGATCAAGGGCAAAGTCTCCATCGTCCCATGGGCCCCACTGAGCCAYGATAGCACCGCCCCGAGAACCGCAGCCCCACAGGACAGCCACTGCCCACACTGAMGCCCCACCCAGTCTACACGACTCCCTTCAGCACGGTCTACACTGCCCCACACCTTGMCTGCAACCTGCTTCCCTGGGCAGCTGTCTACACTGGCCTTCCCCACATGTCCACACGGCTGTCSCCCTTGTCTATACCCGTGCCTGTCCATTTTCTTTCTCTCTCTCTCTCTTTTTTTTTTTTCTTGGTACCAGCGATGCTCTTCCATTGAGCTACACCCCCTGCCCTTTATATTTTTTATTTTAAGACAGGGTCTCTCTCAATTGCTTAGGGCCTTACCGAGTAGCTGAGGCTGGTCTCAAACTTGCAATCCTCCTGCCGCAGCCTCCCAAGCTGCTGGGATTACAGGCGTGCACCACCATGCCCGGCCCTCCTTGTCCATTTTCTACCCGGCTTCCCGTTGTCTACACTGACCCCTGACATGGTCTATACCAATCCTGCTGAGCCACCGGCTCCCCTGGGTTAGATCAGTTTGCCCCGAGTTTTTCACACAGGCTCCCTGAGCAGCATCGACATGATTCTTCCAGTGTAGCCTACGCTGCCCTCTGCCCAGTGCTGTCTACACTGCCTGCTCCCTGGGCTGCCCAACCCCCTGCATGGCCACACGGCTTCCTTGTGTTCTGAGCTCACAGCCCCACAGCCTGGGTCTCCTACCCAGTGTCACTTCCTCTACTGTGCCCCCAGCATTGACATCATTGACACCCCAAAAATATGTCCACACGGGCAGCCCCATCTGATGGCAGGAGGGCACGAGCTACTATATGACTTTAAAGTTTGGAGTAGCCACCTCCTAAAAGAAAAATAAATGGTCCTGGGGACTGGGCAGGGCTCCCCACCACTGAGCCACACCCCAGGCCTGTTTATTTTTTATTTGGAGACCGCATCTCACTAAATTGCCCAGGATGGCCTTGAACTTGCATCCTTTCTGCCTTAGCCTTAGCCTTAGCCTCCCAAAGTAGCTGGACAATGGGGGGCCCCAGTGACATGTCTGGACAGACACAGGCTCAGCCAGGACTCTGTCTGCAGGACTTGTCAGAACCTTGAACGTGCTCCTGTGGGCTACAGGTGACGGGAGGCTTCTGCTCCCAGGACACCCAGGGCAGGCGGGGACGTGTCCCCGGAATGTTGGCAGGGAGCTGGGCCCTGAAGCCCCCTCCACACCCAACCTGACAGGGCCACCCACGCTCTGCCCTCGGAAGGAGTCCCCTCCCTGGAGTCCCCCGCACAGGCCTCTCCACCTGGGGCAGCTCCGCACCCCACGGAGGCCTTCTCCCGCCGGGAGGGGACCTTCACACCCCAGGAAAGCGCCCGACTCAGCCTGTGTCCATCTCCCCAGACCCCCCTGAGGTCACCATCTCTGGCTATGACGACAACTGGTACGTGGGCCAAGATAAGATCACCCTGAGCTGTGAGGCACGCAGCAACCCAGAGCCCACAGACTACGCCTGGAACACGTGAGTCCAGTGGACGGAGACCTGGGTCTGGGGGAGGGGGCTGGGCCTGGACCCTGGGTCTGGGGGAGGGGGCTGGGCCTGGACCCTGGGTCTGAGGGAGGAGGCTGGGCCTGGACCCTGGGTCTGAGGGAGGAGGCTGGGCCTGGACCCTGGCACCCCAAACCAAAGCTAAGCCAAAGAAAAATCAACCACAGTCCAGAGTCTGTGTCTGGCTGCCCACTCAGTCCCACCAACCCCTGGGCAATGCCACTTCCCTATCACCCTGTGAAGCCACTTAGTCACCTCCACAGGCTGCGTGAGAAAGTTGAGGCTCCCAGCCATAAGATTCCCCAAAGTCACACCAAGGTTGAGATTGGGGGAAAAAGACAGAGGGGCTCATTCCTGTCATCCCAGTGACTCAGGAGGCTGAGGCAGGAGGATTGCAATTGTGAGGTCAGCCTCGGCCACTTAGCAAGACCCTGTCTCAAAATAAAATAAAGGGAAGAAAGAAACAAAAAGAAAAGAAAAAGGTATAAYTGATTTCTTTATTCATTTTGGTGCTGGGGGTGAATCAGGGCCTCAAAGATGCTAAGCAAATGATCTTCCACTGAGCTACACCCCCAGCCCCATAAATTGCTTTCCATTGTTGTTATTGAGCCTTTWTCTTCAGACAATATTTAGGAGTGAAAAGAAGAAAATAGTGCCTAGAGTCATGTGAAGCCAGTCACCTCCAGAAGTATCTGCTATTACCTTTTGTTATTGATCCTTCCTCTCTTTTTCTCTGTTTCTAAACAAAAGCTGGCTTTCCRTTGCTTGCGTGATTTTGAAACTTCCTGTTCTCTGAACACCTTTCCGTGCCAAAGCACGTAGTTCCACAACCCCATTTTCCCTAACATCTTTATTAGGGGATTTTTCAAACATACAGTCATAAAAATTTCCCAGTCAACACTCCAAAGTCCACCCAGTGGATTCTCTGGCTGACACCGTCCTGCAGGTCTTCTCCCAGGTCTGCCCGCCAGCCCACCCCCAGCCACCCGCCAGCCCTTCCTGTCCTTGTATTTCAAAGCACCTCAGTCCCTTTGGGAATCTTGCTGGGATTCCATCCCAGGGCCTGCCATTATGATCCACTAGCCCTAAGGTGGGACACAGGGATCATTCTCCATGGTCTGCTGTGCAGATGTCACAGTGGTGCCTGTACCAAGCCACCCACTTTCACAGAAAGTCACAGACGTTTACCAATTATCAGGGGGAAAACGGTCATCAGGGTTTTCTTTCTTTCTTTCTTTCCGTCTTTTGTTCCGGGRATTGAACTCAGGGGCATTTAACCACTGAGCCACCTCCCCAGCCTTGTTTGGTTTKGGGTTTGTTATTGTTTTTAATTTTAGAGACAGAGTTTCACTGAATAGCTGAGTTGCTTTAGGGCCTCACTAAGTCGCTGAGGCTGGCTTTGAACTTGGGATCCTCCTGCCTCAGCCTCCCAAGCCACTGGGATTATAGGCCTGCGCCACCAGGATTTTCAGTTGGCGGTGACAGATGCCACCTTTGGCACCCTGGCTCCAGGCACCACAATTCSGGGTCTCAAATCTGATGGCTGGATTTACACCCAGCTCTGCAGAGCCCCAAACGTCACCTCCTCCACCTCTGTCCGTTAAACCAAGGTGCTCCGATATTTCCTGTGCTCGGGGCCATGGGCCAACCTACTGCAGTAAATAAGACGGAGCAGATTCCGCCCCCCTGTGGGGACCGAGGGAGGGGAAATAGGCACATAGCGCGTCCGATATTGATAAATGTCGTGACAAAGATAAAACAGAGGAGGGGGATGTTGCAGTTGAAACAGGGTGGCCGAGGACGTTGTTGTGGAGGTGACATCTGGGCAGAGGCCTGAAGGAGGTGAGGGTGAGGTACCTGGAAGAGCWTTCYRGGCAGAGGAACAGTGTATGYAAACACGTTTCTGCCCCTGGGCCTGCATCTGCAAAGGACAACCGTGGATAGATGTGGATAGACGCAGGAGCAACGGGAAGACTCATAGATAGTGTGGGCAGAAGGCTGGGGTAGGAGGGCGCAGGTCCTGAGGGAGGCAGGGACCAGCCAGGGCAGGGTTCTGAATCCGGGAGGGGAAGGAGCTGAGGTCGGCTCGCTGACGCCCTCTGGTGGTCAGTTGGGGAACAGACAGGCGAAAGCAGAAACTGGAGGGCCAAAGACTGGACCAGGGTGGTGGCTATGGGGGCCCCAGGAGCGCGTGGATGATGGACAGGTTTTGAAGGTGGGGCAACAGGATTTTTCCAGTGTTGGATGTGGGTGTGAAGGAGGAGAAGAGCCCCGGGACTCCAGAGTTGCTCTCCACCCGTGTCATAGATGGCGTGATGGTGTCCATGTCCCTGGCGCACACTGCGTGCTGGGGGGCAGTATCCCTAGGACTCCAGCAGAGCCACGTCCTTACCCATCTGTCTCCCCCAGGACCACAGGTCCCCTGCCATCCTTTGCTGTGGCCCACGGCACCCAGCTCCTGATCTCCACCAACCRAGCGATCAACATGACCTTCGTCTGCCGCGTCACCAACGCCCTAGGGACAAGTCAGAAGGAACAGACCATCCTAGTCAAAGGTGAGGCGCTCCTTGGAGACCTTCAGCCCCAGGATGCTCTGACACCAGGCTTCCTCTGAGCCCTGTCGTGAGAGGACCAGCAGGGTCAGCTTTACTTTTTCTTTTTCTTTTTTGGGCACCAGGGATTGAATCCAGGGGCACTTMACCCCAGAGCCMCATCCCCAGCCCTTTTGATTTTTTATTTTKAGACAGGGTCTCACTAAGTTACTTAGGGCCTTGCTAAGTTGGGGAGGCTGGCCTCAAACTAGTGATCCTCCTGCCTCAACCTCCCAGGCCGTTGGGATTACCGGGGTGCACCCCCACACCTAGCTAGTGGACCTGCTATGTGCCACCAGTCCATAGTGCAGCCACCTGGACGCGCTCCCTCCACCCACCTAGGCTCGACCAGTTGTGCGATGCCTCTTCCCCCAGGGACTCCGAAAAGCCTTTCTAAGTAGGTGGGGAAGAACTGCATCCATCGCAATTGACAGAAAAGCATGACTCAAAATAATCCGAGCAAAAAGAAGWAGTAGAAGAAGTCTTTATTGAGAATTTGCTTTCAAGTGCAGTTGGATCTGGGCGCCCCAGCTATGGCGCCCAGGAAGTTTCCTTTCCTCTCGCATCTCCATTTCTTTCTGCTCTTCGGTTCTGTCCCAGGGAATCCAGCTGGTGCTCAGCAACTRGAAGAGCTCGCCCCCACCTGTATACCCTGGGGAAGACCGCCCTGAGAGCTCTAAACCAAAACCCCAGGGCTGGCTCTCATTGGCCCAGCCCAGGTCCCAGCCCACCTACATGAGCCAATCACAGCAGCCAGGGAGCTTGAGACGTTCCCATTGGCCAGGGCTGAGTCCAAGTCCGCCTGAGCCACACCCACTGGGYGGGGCCACACCCACACCCGCGGGCTGCGCGCTGGGCGGGGGATCGCCCCAGAAGCTCCCTCACCTAAGGCCTGTTTCCTTCCTGCCAGACCCAGAGGGGTCTCGCCTGAGCCCCGGCGCCATCATCGGCATCGTTGTTGGCATCGTTGTTGGCATCGTTGTCACCTTCGCCGTCTTCATCATCGCAGGGATCCTTTATTTCAAGCTGTTCAAGGGCCGTGGTGAGTCCCCCCCTTCTTCGGCACACCCCCACCTGCCTGCCGTGAACCAGCACCCCCAGTCACCATAGTTGAACACCCACTGTGTGCTGGGCGTGGTGCTCACCGCGTGCACCTCTCCCTGCATCACCATGGAGTGTCCCCCATTTTAGAGACAAGGACCCAAGACCAGGGAGTCGCCGTCCTTAGTTCATCGAGTCATTTTACAAATATTTAGGGAGGGGGACAGTCATGTAAGGCCTCGAAGGCCACCGCAAGGACTTTGGCTTTTAGTCCGGGTGACATGGGAGCCCCTGCCAGAGTGATGGAGGATGGCGTGACACACCCCCACCAGCTTTTCTCTGCCTGCCTTGCCCAGGAGTGACCCCAGGCGGAGGTGGCAGGAACTGGCCCCCTTGATGTTCGGCTCTCAAAGGCCAGGGCCTCTGCACCGCAGGGGCTTTGTCCAGGTTGTCCCCTGCCTGGAACCCCCTCCCCCCTCCTCCAGTGAAGCGCTTCTGCGGATTCTATTGTCACAAGGCTGCGTTCGCTGAGCACTTTCTAGGGACCAAGGGTTCTGACACAGGAGCTCAGTGAATACGCACAACCACCCAGCAAAGAGGGTGCCACCGTGAGCCCCGTGTGACAGAGGAGGGAGTGTTTGCTGTGACAGGAGAAGTCTCCGGTCAGCAGTCAC